TAACTGGACATCAGGGTTACGGCGCGGGCTTCGGGGAATAGAACGGTAGGCACCCTTCGCCCTTCGTTCCCTTGCGTCACCTCAGAACGAGCTACAATGATGGGGACGGCCACGGCCACGGCCACGGCCACGGCCACGGCCACGGCCACGGCCACGGCCACCTTCACACATACGAACCGACTGTAGACCAAAGACCAAGACGTCCGCTCTTGGTTTGCCGCCGTAAATCCTCACGCCCCTCTCCCCACCCGGACAGAAAAATAAAAAATGTGGGAGTACGCCCTTCACACTAAGATGTTTACACCTTACCTAAAACCGAAGGTCGCTAGCAGGCATGGGGCCCAGGTAGCAGGGCTAGCGGGCATCGGCAGGTATAGAAGGGTGTGCGGGAGAAAAGAGATTGTCGCAAGCGGCCAGCGCGATTGGTTGCCCACCTCCACGGCGCTGCTGTGGCGGGAAGCGTAGCGTTGCACTCCCCTATCGCTCCTACCTCACACAGACCGAGCGGACGCATGCCGTTTCATATTTTGCGCTTGTGAAGAACTAGTTCGTATAACAATGCATTAAAATTGTTTTCAATCTACAAAGAAAATCGTTTGCAATAGTGCACCCGCACACCTACACAAGTCGCCCGGCTCCGCCCCGGCCACAACACCGTGGATGTAGGCCACCTATTGCGCTGCCCGCTTACGACAATTTCCCTTTTTTCCAGCACAATCCCCTCTTTTCCCTCCGACGCCGCCATCGGACCCGCCACCAGGGCTGTGAGTACCCTAGTGACTGGTCCGAAAACTTCGTTCGCGTGAGCCAATAAGCGTCAGGGAGAAAACCGTTTAGGGAGCATTACTGTTCTTTAGATCCGGTCTAAACTGCGTGAAATACGCTATTGGAAAATGAATTTTTGCTAGTTTTGCTTTGTTTTCGTTTTCTGTTTGTTGTTAACTTTGGTCACTGTGCCTGTAGTGTTTATTTTTTCTTGTCACTCTAAATCCTCCAAACCGAGCAGAGAAAATCCGATTGCGGTGTTGCAACGGTCTATTCTCTACTCTTTTATAGAAAATCTATTTTCGTGGGTTTGTTCAACAGTATGATATGGAGAAACTGACCGTAAAATGAACAAGTTCCTCAGGCCCCTAGAAACAATAACATAATATGAGTGCACTCACCAAATCAGCGTCGAGTGAGCAGGGGGCGCCGCCGTCAGATGCACTTCACATCACAAACAAATGATTCCGTCGCGTCACCTTCACAAGTAGAAAAAATAACAGTGGGGAATGGCTCTCCTGTGGCGTTGTGCTGTGCCCAAAAAGTAGAGGAACCAACTGCAAGAAATGGTATCGACTAGGTGTAATAAATACAGTATCGCACCACACGCCTTGCGAACCTCTGAGTCGTACGCAGACTTTGAAGTGGCAGCACGTACGGAGACACGAAGTACAAATGCGAAGTTCTAAACAGCAACACGAAACGTTCCAATACTCCCAACAAAGACGACTGACTTGCCGACTCGCCGCGCCGATCGCTCTGCAGGGCAAGGAGAGGGGTGGGGTCTCTCCGGTGTCCAAGCCCCGAGCCTGTGTCGGCTGTCGGCTGCTAGCGGACGACGTCCCTGTTTGTAGCTACACAGTTGTAGGTACAAACGACACGGACACAGGCAGCTTTATGCGAACTGACTGTAGACATATGCCGTCTCCGCGTCGTCAATGCTCACGCCCCTCCTCCCCCACCCCGACAAAATAAAAAATAAACATGAAACCTTTCCTCATCCAACCACAGTCGTTGGCGACTTCAGCGATCGCGGGAACAGCCGCTTCCGAACACAGTGGTCAGAACATACTCCCGGGGTTTGTGAGACGGTTGACGCCTACGTTGGTTACACTGTACTGACTGGGGAGGGGGGAGTGACCTCAGGGCAGGCCGCAGGGCACATGCTCGCCGCAGTGTTGCTATACCTAAACCCTAAACCGCCCTTTCCCAAGCGATGGTCTCCCACTTTTTCGCTTTCGTGAAATAAACTTGTTTAATCTTATTGTATGCCTCTTGTTTTCATGCTGAACCACTGCACTGACACAATCTTCCTGCTGTTTGAGAAAGAATTGTCTTTCTAGGAGGGGGTGGGGGAAGGTAGATCTAGTCTAGACTGGTCGGAAAAAAGGGGGCGGAGCAAGATGCACGGAAACCGGAAAGGCCCAACAGAAGAGGACTACTTTCAGGGCGGACTAGTCCTCTTGCTCAGCGGACTGACATTGAGGGCGGACTGATCAAACGGACTAGTTCCAAACTGAAAACGGACAAAAGGCCGATTTTATATGCGGGAGTACAGAGTTAGTGAAATACACGGGCCGGAAAATTCAACAGTTCCATTTCGCGGCCCGAACACATCCACCGTAATGCAATTCGTATTTCAGCGGAGCGAATAAGCGCCCCCCCCCTCTCCCCCTCACGCACTAATGCCAGCGAAGGCAACTAACAAACACTCCGCCGGGCGTGCCCCCCCCCCCTTTCCAAACAAACACTTGCCTCATGCGCCTCACGTTCACAACAACTCATGAGCAATATCATCCGGCCGGCATTGCGAGGCCGCCCCGCCCGCCCCGCGCCGTTCAACCCTTTCATACCCCCTCCCCCTTTTCCTCCCGCACCTGAGCGGGCGGCTCTATGTGCTCCTGCACTCTCGCACGCACTCAACGGCCCGGCCCCCTCCCACCTACACACACCGACACACACACACAGCAGTTCGGCAACGCACATCTTTCGCGCCAAGCAAACCGTAATCATAAGACTACACTGCAAGCCAAGCCGGGCGCAGCGCGCGCCACGCGTGGAAGCACGGCAGAGAGCTCCATGTGTGGCACACTGCGCGACTCGCCCCTCAGCGCAGCAGAGAGGCGAAAATCTCTCGTCGTCGTATTTCGTAGAGAGGGTCGTTCAAAAGTGATTTCCGAAATGAAAAATGCACTAAGGGTTCCAGGTGATAAAAAGTTCCACGCAAATTTCTAATTATGAAATCGGCTGGGCTGGGACCTCGCTAAGCGTAGAAAGATTCGAAAATTTCAACCATTTACAGTATTCGTTTGTTATCAACTTTGAAATAACCGACCAAACAAGCCGATAGCAACGAGAACGAGGAGAGCACGCGCGCA